ACAATTGGCAATATACAAGCATGGAATACAAAGTGATGATAATAAAAAAATTTAGACAGGAAAGGAACACTAAATAATACAACATCCATCCATCCTTTATTTAATACAGTACTCCATTACAACTTGGAAATCCTATGTCAAGGATCCCTAAATATAACCCTGAGAGTTCAACGTCAAAAGTAAATAAAAACTGAAACTGAAGTAATACATAAAACTTCTACCCTGAACTGGATCGTAAGAGTAGATGAGTTCGGATGGTGGTCCCTCACTGCTAACCTCAACCTTGGAACGGGTACTGACCGTATCCTGAAATAACAACAATGGTGGGTCAACCCCACGAGTAAGTCCTCTCTACTATGACCCAAATCAGAGAATCAAATAAATTAATCATTATGAATCGGATGAGTACTATATCTGTATACATCCTAAGGGAACTATCCAATGTATAACATGACCTCAACCAGAATAGACGGTGATCACTTAGACTCACACTAGGTGGTTAAGTGTCGCCTTTCCCTACCCGGGAAATCAGCTATTATACATGGTGCACGGTACTGACAACACAGACTATAACAAACTACACAGTGATAACACCTCTCAAAGTACTGATGAATATACCGAGCATACAAATTAGGCAACACATGCCAATAATATTACCAAATATACTAAGCATGTCAATTAGGCAACACATGCCAATAATATTAAACCACATACCCCGACAGCCACACATCTGTCTATAGTAACGAATGCATAAGGTATAAATGAGTCTAAACTTATTAGCCAGCTCACATGGTTCTATATGGCAACACATCCATATAATATAAATGCGACATAATTAAACAGTCCATTTATTTCCTGAAATGCACACAGCATAATAATCATGGTTTATATATCATTTAACAGTATAAACATCCCATAAGATATCATGGATAATTTATCTGACGAAAACCATGGCATTATTTAGTTTAACAGTAATGTTTGATACCATTTAATAAGATAATAACACTATTTATATTTAACAATGTCGTTAAATAAATCACATTAGTATCCGTACTGTGAACGAGCCAATAAATGCTTAGAAAAGATTAATCGGTCATAAGAATAAGTAACGGGTATTAAAATAATAATTTCGTGGCCCGTTAAACCCGTAAATACCAACACAGTACCTAAAAATCCAAGTTTAAGATTCTGGAAATTACAAAACAGGCCCTAGGGGTATTCTGGTAATTTCCAGCAGCTGTAGAGACCCCACACGCGCCCTCACGCGCCTCCCAGAGCCTCCCCACGCGCAGCCCAACCTTCCCCACTCTCCCACGCGCCTCCACGCGCGTCTGGCATCAGCCACGCGCGCGCACGCGCTCCCACGCGCGCACTAATGCATCCTGATGACGTGGCTCGTCCTAATTCGTTGGCTGCATCATCCTACTATGGGCGCGCTACACTGAATCATCTCACCCTCTCATCACTCAATCCTATGCTCATAGATCCGGGTGTACCGCGGTAACATTGACCGCGATGCACCGGATCAATCAGCTTCATCTAAGGCCCAGGATGCGCGCGCACACCCTCTTATGGTGCGCCGCATCACACCGGATCACTCCGGTCATCTCCCCCATTGCCGGCGACCGGAAAACTCGCCGGAGGGTCGTCGGAAAATACAGAAAAATTTCGAAAATTGCCCAAAAATTCTAGAAAAAATTCTAAAGCCTTAAATAACAACTTCCTAAGTTTCAAATAATTACCTAGGCTAATAATAAATTATTTAACCCTTAAATAATTAATATCTCATTATTTTAATAAATTAAATAATTAATTTCTCATTGTCCTAGCATGGTTTCTAACCTCAAAAATAGCCGAATAAATGTAATGAATAATTTATGGACTCAAAGGGGAAAAGTAGATAATAACTTGCCTTTTTGGATTTAAAATAAATCCGCCGGTTGCGCGTAATCGGGTAAATTCCCTACACCGGTCCAGGCTCATTTCTTTCTCTCTTTTCCTTTCGGTCTTATACAAGAACTCACTTTTATTATTTCCTTCTTCAACTTATGTGAATCCTCAACTAAAGGGCTAACTTCTATATATACATAACTTATATAATTTAAATATTACAAATATCTATTTTTGCATTTAATTAACCACATTCCCAACCATAAGACTTTAAGGCTAGCAAGCCAAGTCAAGCAAGATGTCCTAAGGTAAATCCTATCCTAAGATTTAATTTCTTCATCATTACATTGATTTAATACTATTATTATTTATTATAAGTATTGTTATTATTTTTATTATTAATAAACTATTATAATAATTATTATTATAAATATTATTATTATTAAATACAAATTAAATACTTTAATTAAATAATATTAATTAATCTAAAACCTAACCAATAAAATGTCTAAACTAATCATTAGAATATAAAGAACAAAAAAATCAATATTACATGCACAAATAAATAAAATTAATTAAATAATTTAACATATATAATTAAAAGGTGAATAAATCTACACATTAAAGAATTAACCTAACACAAAAATTAATTTAAATAAACTCTTTAAAATTACGGGGTATTACATAGTTGCTTATAAAAATTGGAACTCAGTGATGCAATTATGGGAAGATTCAATGTACCGAGGACCTGTTGTTCAAGTGACATGGGAAATACAATGAAAAACTTCAGTTCCAAGGGGTGTTTGGTTATCTGAGATGAACACATTTACTTGTAAAAATTTCACATTGAAAATGAATCCCCAAAGTTATTCTAAACATGATCCAAGAAAAGACACACGTAACAAAAGCACTAAGACCACATCCAGAAAACAGAGAAAGTTTACCAAAAAAATGTTTCTCAGCAAAATTGTACTAATTGATCACAGCCTATGCACTAAGAGTCTCCATATCCACTACATATAAATTTAAGTATATACAATATTTGATGTTTGTCTAATATTTTCGTGAATATATCGATGAGCATGTGTTTCATTTTTTTTACTGATGCAAGTTGTCCTACAAATTTGTATGTATTCTTAAAAACGAGAAACATATAATAGAGGGAAAAAAAAAAAAAAAAACAGAGCGTATGTGATAACCCTCAAAATTAAACTATATATATTTTTATCAAAATATATATAGAATGGAGAAGAAAATAAGATATAATATTATGAAGAAAAAAAGAAAAAATTGACAGGAAGAATCAAAAATACCTCTCACTGCTTTCAAACTACAAATTGTTCTCTCATTTCTTCCATGTTCTTTGCTACCCATCACCATTATAGTATTACCTAAAATCCCCTCTTCCTTCTCGGTCCTCATTAAGGCCGACCCAGCGAGTTCACGGAACTATACCTCAATCTCAAACTCGTTCTATGATTCAAGCTACTATCACGGGTTAGGGTTCGTTTACAATTCTCACTCTGTGATTTTTGGTGGCATAGAGAATGGAAGCTTCTCAAGCCTTCGACTTCAAATCTGAACATAAGAAGCCGTTGGGAGTATTTGTAAAGCTAAAGTTTTGGCTTTGGTTGGAACACACAGAGAGAGAGGACGTAGATGTATGGGCTGAGATGTGAAAGAAATCGAAGTGAGTTTCAAGGCCGTTCTAAGCTTGATCTACTCTAGCCGACAGCCGACAATTCCACCCCCAACCCTAGTTTTCATCCGACGCTTGTTATCAATGGTTATATATATATATATATATTATGGAAAAAAAATATCTTAAGAATTCATAGCTTCCAAAAATGTATATATGAAAGAAAAATAATTCCATAATTAAAGAAAAAAAATAAATGAATTTTGGATGCAACATAAAAATAGAAACAATTAAATTAGTAATACATGATTGTATAAACAAACAATTTAAACTCACCTATTTACCTTTTTGCAATTTTAGTGAAGAATGACTCTACTTTCCTTTTTAATGACGTCTGTAATTTAATGAAGAAGAACGAAAGAGAAAATTGATATGGGTATAATAGGAAACTAATGTATTGAAGTGCACAACTTTTGCGGGAAAGTGGATTTTCGTGTGTTTTATGCGCGAAAATTTTTTGAAAAAATTTTTAGATGCGGGAATCCTATTTTTCCCAAAATTTTCACTTTCCCTCTAACCAAACATGTAAAAATTTAAAAATTTTCCTTTTCTTTTCTTTTCTGGTTATTTCACGCTAACTAAACGAACCCTAAGAGAAAAAACGCAAGAAAATTATTACTCCATTGGTAAAAGGTGTCCACCTTTGTATTTCTCTTTTGAAAAGTCAATAAACTTTTTAAATATTATCAATTTATCCTTCTTATACTGAATTTATAAAAAATAAATCCTTGACCCATTATGAATAAATTTGGTAATTCATTCACTAATAATGCAATAAAAAATAAAAAAACTAAAAAGTATCATCCTAAGAAGCTAACCAAAGGCCTCGTAATCTAGTGGTATCTCACCTATCTCCTAAAATTCGACTATGAGTTTCAAGGACAAAATGAGTGTGTATTTCTTGTCAAAGAAAAAAAAAAAAATTATATTCTCAAAAAAAGCTTTTTATGTTTTTTTTCTTTTTCAAAAAGAACTTCACTACTAGTCATCTAGCTGAACAGGGAAACTAAAAGACCATTCATTCCATGTCATTGGTGAACTTAATAGGTCTTTAAAAAGCCCAAACCAAAGCCCATTAAACCGAATAGTTCATATATAATAAAGGAAAGTGCTCTTTTAGTCGAGCATTTCAGCTTGGCCCAAGCCAACCCAGTCATGAGATGCAACCAAGGAATTTTTTTTTTTTTCAGTGTTACATAAGAAAGTAGATGTGTGGCGTGGCTTCTTGTGGAAAAAAATAAAATAAAAATAAAATTATAATATATATTATTTTTATTTTTATTGGGTGCGTAAGGGGCCATACCCGTATTCCCTTGACCTTCTGGGTCCGTAAAGTTAAATACTAAATTAACACTCAACCAACATAAGTGGGGGGAATCAGCTGACAATTTGGAATCAATACTAAATTAATGATCGACTTTCATTTTCATGCATTGCTTTCTGTATTTTACATACAAATCAGTAATAGAAAACGATCCGAATAAATAAACATAAAATAGCGTGGTAGCTACAGCGAGTTCCACGCACACACGCATATGTAGAGAGAGGAAGGGAGAGGGAGATAGATCCGGCTTGTGTCTTCTATTATTCCGGGGTGGAGCAGCTGCGGGTTGATCACAGATACAATGTCGTCAATGCACGCCAAAACAGACTCAGAGGTGACCAGTCTAGCAGCATCTTCCCCAACAAGGTCACCTCGCCGTCCGGTCTACTACGTGCAGAGCCCCTCCCGTGACTCCCACGATGGCGAGAAGACCACCAACTCCTTCCACTCCACCCCCATCCTCAGCCCCATGGGCTCCCCTGGCCGCCACTCCCGCGACTCCTCCTCCACCCGCTTCTCCGGCTCCCTCAAACCCGGCTCCGCCCGATCCGGCCGCAGACACCACCACCACCACCACCGCAAGACCGATGATAAGCAATGGAAGGAGTTCGATGCTATCGAAGAAGAGGGTCTTCTTGAAGACGACGGAGCTCACACTGGTCTCTCTCGTCGCTACTACTTACTCGCTTTTCTTGTTGGTTTCTTCCTCCTCTTCACATTATTTTCTTTGATCTTGTGGGGTGCAAGTCGAAATCAGAGACCCATCATCACAATGAAGGTATTTTCTACTCATTTTCTTTGTTTAGTAATCATATGCATATGTAAATATGTAATCATATAGTACATAGATTTATACATATATTTTCTAGTCTATTTTATTTATTCTGCGATGGGTATCGGTGTAAATTGCAGGGTATCACATTTCATCAATTTGGGATTCAAGCTGGTGCAGATGCGTCGGGAGTGGCGACGGAGATGATATCGATGAACTCCACAGTGAAGCTCATTTTTCGTAACACCGGTACATTTTTCGGGGTACATGTGACATCAACATCTCTAGATCTCTCATATTCTCAACTCACTGTAGCCACCGGAACAGTAAGCAACTATATATATACAGCAATCAATTTTGTACATTTTGTTGAATAAAATTGCATATATTGAACGCGATTATATATATATAGTTAAAATTGGTTATATATGGGTTATGCAGATAAATAAGTTCTATCAATCAAGAAAGAGTCAGAGAACAATAACAGTGACCCTGAACGGAAATAATATCCCACTATATGGAGGGGGTGCCGACTTGAGCAGTAAAGATGGGGTTCCTACAGCACCAGTGCCATTGACATTGAACTTCATGGTTCGAGCCAGAGCCTACGTTCTAGGCAAACTGGTCAAGCCCAAGTTCTATAGGAGGGTTCAGTGCTCGGTGGTTTTGGACCCAAAGAAGATGAATGTGGCTAATGCACTGAAGAATTTGTGCACTTACATGTAAGGATAAAAATTGTCAACTTAAAAGCAGACAAGCACACAGTGGTTGATTTTATTTATATTATTATTTTTTACTTTGAATCATAAATGAATCATGGGGTTGAAGGAAGGAAAGAGCATTGCAGTTTCGTGCTTTGTTTTGATATGATTTTTTAGTCATTTATTATTTAAATGGGACAAGGTGGATACAGCTATGGCGCATGGTGGTAACGGTTAGGCAGACCTGGGATTTACGGGCAGGAGTTGACCTCCTTGAGGTGAGGAAATGGTTTGGCTGCCCGTTGCCCGTGATATCAGGGAATTGGAAATTTGGGAATTATGAGTTGTTTATTACGGTGATTTTATTTGTATTTTATGTTTGTAACATTATTTACATATGTGTTATATACAGAGAAATTATATAGCAATTCCCTCTCCTATATATATATATATGTATATATATTTGACATATTAAACTAATATTTTCTGACATTTACTGGAGATTTCTTTTAATTTTTAGAAGTTTTTTAAGTATTGAAATGGGAAATGTGATAGCGGTAATAATATTGGAATTGAAGCGAGTTGCATGAGTTGTAGATCCATATAATTAAACCCTTTAACCTAAAGCCTGAACTGAACCAACCTAACCCCTAACTATGTTCTTTCTAGCTTGATTGGTATATGATAGATATAATTAAAACTGGCAATGCTTAGATGTGAAATTTGAGATATTCATTAGTGGTAACTTGGAAGCTATTATTCTAGAGACCATATCAAAAGCCCCATGGACTACATTTGTGTATGCAAAAAGTTTCAAATAAAAAACTCTAATATGTCTCTGTCATCAAGCACCCTCATTTTTGTATTTTAAATTTAAAATGAGTACACGTTATTCTATTATTGTTCCTAGTGACGTAGACGAAATTTTGACTCATCGGTTGGTAGACAAGTATTGTTATGTCAACATAGAAGCACATCTTGCATGGGAAATGAAAGTTTTTAAAACTTTATGAGGGATTTTCAAATAAAGATTTTGATTTATATGTAGAGACAAGTTTTATGCATGAAGAACTTGATGATGAGATGATCCATTCAATTTAAGGATAAAAAACTTACATCAAAGTTTGAGTAAACCTTAAGTCTCTCATATAAAGTGAATGTTCTCACTTATTGTAGATTCTTTTGCTAGATACCTCTTTCATGGATTTCCATCTTGTTGGTGATGATGTTGTCGTTAGGAATCACCCATAAACTTTCATGAATGATCTTGGAAAGCTTAGCTTGTGGGAGCTTCCATTACATGGAACACGAACTCTAAAATTTTAGAGAGAAAAATATTTTCCTGTTTTCAAAAAATTATTGTATAAAGGTGTAACCTAAAATATACATGGACCCATGTATATATAGGCAAAATAAAAAATAATAATTAAATATAATATATTTTTTTCAATCTCTAAAAGTAACGTGATATCTCAAATCTAATAGAATTTCAATATCAAGTTGGGTTATGTGTAAGAATCCCTTGGGCTTATTATTTTCTTGGTTACAATGAATTAATAATTGACCTAATTCATGGACCCAATTCAATTAATTCACAAATTAATTTTTACTCCATTAAAAGAAATTAATTGAACTCCAATTAAATAATAAATATCACCTAAGTCAATGTTGCACTTTGACCCCTCTATGCATAATTAGTTATCGGATAAATAAAGTCATCAATCCGACTACTAAATTAATATATTTATTTTGGTACCTTTGATTATTTCTGACTTGATCACAATAAAACATTTGTTTGACAAAAATAATAATTTAAATAAATAAATATATAAAAAATCATTTTATTTAAAAACACACGAAGACATTCGAATTTACTTTGTAATCAACCATAATCAATACAAAATAAATACAAGTAGCAATGATACAAATATTGAAAATATAACCCTCTAACTATTAATTACATAATTACCCAAAATGCCGGTCTATGTATTTCGAAGATTCCGCTGAATAAATCAAAGTAATTACTAATTAATAAAATAGTCTATACTTCTCCTATGCTTAAGAGTCAAATGCCATGACAGTGATAGGGAACAATTGCATACAACGGCTTTCGCACTATATCTCAACCTAACGTGGATCCAGTTCAAGTCTTAGTTAATAATGAGTCCATCTATAATTACCGACTATGAACTATTTATGAATACTATTTATGTTCATGTATTGATCGCTATCACATACACATATAAATATCTCTTGTAATCAAGTGAACACTATTAATTCCATAATGAATCGAAACATAATACATTGAATTCACCAATTGTATAAAGCATAAATATTTCACATATGTTAGGAACTTATGTCACTTTAATCCAAATAAGAATTTGCTATCCCAGAGCATATAAATCCCAACATATCCATCTTACAGGCCTTTTGTAATAGTAGTCTCTACAATATCTTGTTGGTCTAAACTATTCTGGCTTGTCTACAGTGGACAGTAAAGCCTTGTGTTTGCATCATTTCTAGTGTAGGGTTGCTAATGGATTGAATTATTCATCAGTTCGAGTTTGCTTGCATGATTGTTCATTTAGAAGACAAACGAGCTGAAATTCAATTCTTTAAGATTCATTTTTTAGTATACTGTATACAAGTAAACTAGACGTGTTGTGGACTCTTGGGTAAGCTTTTTAGATTTGGGGACATAACCTATAGAATCTCAATACTTCAAGTTCACGTGTGTTTTACTTTACTCGTTAAAACAATTTATATTGATCGTATTATAGTCGTTCTGTTAATTAAGAACAACTCAGATCTATATGAGATCATTGTTCATCTTATAAATTTATACTATGCTTGAGAGTGTATTGAATTAACACCTTATAATTGAAATCGGAGAAAAATTAGTTCAAATTACGTCTCGGTTGATACTTGTTATAGTCAGGGATCTGCCACTATGAATTCATGATATTGTGTGGGGTTCCTTGATATTGAGGTGTCAAGGTGCTCAGGAACTGTTTGAGGAAGAGGAAAAACTTGAACAATCGGTGGTTGGAGAAAGTCAGTCTGGGATCATAACGCCAGTTCGGATCAATGCAAAATTGATTGAGTTGGAATCTTAATTTGAATTAAATTTACTTCAATTCTAATATTGGAGAGTCAGATTTGATACTCTCAAACACGTAATTCATGGTACTGTGATAACTGCAGATTTAGAAAGGTTACACTATTCACTAACCAAATGCCACTCTCTTCATTATCGTAGTTAGAGAAGTCTGTGCATGACCATACAAAGAAATAGCCTGTGATTTGTTGAACTGAAGATACACTCGAACACAATATGTAGCCATTGATCTCTGTTTCGCATTGTTTGGCTAGACAAAGTGATCACTGTGTTGAGATGTCTCTTATTTTACCTTTATGACTGCTAAATCAAACATTGGGATACTGACATATATTTAACATCATTTTGTGAAAATGATGAAAATCAACATGGTTAGAAAACTTTGAAACAAATACATTGTAGTCTAATGGCACTTTCTAATATTTCAAAGTAGGAAGTTGATGATTTAAGCCCGTAAAAAACTATGTGGGTGTGTGTGGTGTGTAAGCGCGTTTCCATTCCGTTGGAAAAATAAAAATAAAAATTGAAACTGTCATTAATATTTGAGGGGTTGCAGGCTTGCAGAAAATTGGAGAGCGACCATGGGCTGGAAGCCCAGCCTGGTATGCACAAGTCTAGTGATGGGCTTAGAATTTTTTGCTTAAATTCATTAGAGACTCTACTTTAATGCACAATCTAACTCAATATACCACTGTTCAAAAGTACTTGTTCTCAATAGATCATAGCCTTTAAATTGTAATGAATCACACAATAGTATCATATGTAATACACATTCAACTACACAACTGAAACTATAATTTTCTGGGGAAAAATAATTCAACAACTTGAATTTCATGACAACTGCACTGTACACTTAGTCATCTGAGTCCTGAATCAGAACCAGTCAACGATGTCAAAACACTAACAACATCCTTTGTGTCTAAAGTCTAAACCTACCAATATGTTTCAGTAGTATTTACAATGTGTTGAATAAAAAATCTTCCAATCAATGAATTTGCTCAACCTTATGTGTCACCCCAACTCACCAGCAAACTCCCATTACCTTACAGTGACCCAACTGTCTGAAACAGACCAATCAGGTCTCTGATTGCCCACCAGCTGCCGGATTCTATCCACCGGCGAAGTATACAATGACCCACAGGACAAATTCAGCTCACATTCAAACCTAGTGTCAGATATCTGCGAGTACTCCGGTGAGGGCAAATAAGTAGTCGACCATGTCGGTGACGATTGTGTGGATTCCCAATCAGGAAAATCAAATTGAGTTGTGGGTGATGTAGACCATTCGTGATCGCCACCATGAACGGCCACAAATGGATGATTTAGCAGCATCTCAGCCGTCCATCTCTTTCTCGGGTCCTTCACGAAACACTTTTTCAAAAAATCTTTCCCTTCCTCTGATAATTTGAGAGGAATCTCCGGCAACTCCTCACCGAACCCAATTCTCATCAGCAGTGCCGGGATGCCGGATTCCGGCAGGTGACTCCACGCCGGAGCTCCGGTCACCATCTCAGCCACCAAACACCCAAGCGCCCATATATCTGCCGGGGCCTCCAATTCGATGCCCGCAACCATCTCCGGCGACATATACAACGGCGTACCTTTAAACTCAAACCCCTTATTCTCTCTCTTAACTCCACCTCTCTTGGCCAGGCCAAAATCCGCAATCTTTACAACATCATCTCTACCATCCTTACAAGAAAATAAGAGACAGTTTTGAAGTTTAATGTCGCAGTGAACGTACCCATTCTTGTGGATATAATTCAGCCCTTGAAGTATGCACCTCGTGTATCGCGTGACGTCAGATTCCGGCAATCGGCGATCGGGTGAATTTATAATCTTGTCAGATAAAGCACCCCCTGAAGCGAATTCCAAGAGAACATTATACAATTTCTCACCCTTTTCGAAACTATAATTGTCGCCGAAGCACCGAATAACATTAGGGCAATTGTTGAGCTCATCCAATATCGATTTTTCGCTCATAAGCGAAGCAGAGTGCGATAACCCACAAGATTTGACAGCCATTAATGGAGGAATTTGAGGAGTTTGGCTTTTGGGTATTGCTAAATTTACAGTTGCAAAGCTTCCATGACCGACTGTATCACCACGAACCCACTCCATGGCCTTGAAGGATTGTCTCTCTGTTTTTTTTTTTCGCTTTCCTATTACGAACGGAGAATGTAAGTCACAAGACTCACAACCAATCTGTTTTACTCGGTTTTGGAGACTTGTATATATAGTAGATTTCAGTTTACATGATGACAAGGTTATATATATATAATTTATATATGTGTGTGTGGTTTTTATAATTGAAGCACGTGATGGGGAAGTATAATATATCTTCCTAATTTGGCTGAAATAGGTAGTCCCACGCGGTTGATATGGTTGGAAAAAAATCGGGAATCATCAAAAGGAAAAATAATAATAATAATAATAATAATAAATTGGGAAGCATCAAAGATTTTTATTAGGGGGAGTCCCACGTGAAATCGGATTGCGATAGTTTAGATTGTGAACTGTGGTTGGAATGATTGGAATGGCTATACTACCACTATTTTGTAATTTTTTTCTTTCGTTTGTTGGGATACCATTGTACTTTTGCATGTTATGAATAAATTAATACTAATTTAATCTACTTACATAAAATTTTGTACCCTTTTTTTTAGATATTTTGTGGGCGTGGATGGACATCAAATATAAAGAAGTTCGGGGGGACTCGTAACTTAATAATCATGACTATTAGATACCATTCTTGGAATGTGGTCTATGTAAATCTAATGAGGTAAATTTTACAATCATTCATCATAAATTCATTTATTAATTTAATAGAAAAAATGGATGGAAAATATTTGTCTGTTCCATCATCAAGACAAATTGTGTCTTACACACTCATGTGTCCCAATAAGAAATTGACAAATCTTTTAAACTTAAAAAAATACAAAACATTAGTTATATTCATTTTGTAGGGTTAAACCCGACATAGATTGGATTTCGATTTCCATTTGATCTTAGCAGGGATTGATTCATTTTTTTTAAACAGGTATGTTAATAGATTATATTTGTCTAGCCGTGTAATTTTTCTTTCTTTCAAATAGCTTAAATCGAGTTTTGTATTTTTTTCAAAATTTGAGTTTTTTTTGCTTTCAAAAACAAAAACAATGGTTTCTATTCTGTTCTTTTTGCTTTCATTTTTATTTACATTCAGTTTTCATAAAAAGGAAAAATGTCAAAATTTGTTGATGGTAGATTTAAAAAATAGAGAAATAGAAATGGTTAGTTCAATTTTTTTAAGGATAATTTTCTATCTTAAGAAAATTAAAAATAATAGAAAAAGGTAGGAAATACAATTTTTCATGAGTTAATTAAAAATAACATTCAAAGTTGAGTGAGGAAAAAAAATAAATCTATCGAGTTTAACTATAAAAAATGGGTATAACCCATGTTTTGTATTTTTTTAAGTTTAAAAGAGGTGTCAATCTCGTATTGGGACGCGTTAATATGCAGGACAGATTGCAGGACATAATCTGTCTTAATGGTACAGGACTGAAACATTGTCCGTTTTGGATAGTCACAAAGTCATGTTTAGCAGTTGAAGTAGTTACATAATTGAAAAAAATAAAAACAAATTATAAATTTCCGCTATAATCTAATGAGGATGTATACACTTCCCACCAAATAAATAAAAAAACTAAAATCATGCCAAAATCAGCTAAAATTTTCCAAAATTTACATAATCTTATACTATCAGGATTAATTATATACAAATTTCCAAACCCCCTTTTCTTTTATACTAGTTTTGCATGATTTTTTATGAGAATATGACAAAGAAAACTGAAAACAGGGGCCATCCCGACCTCTCGAAGCAAAGTGCAAAAGAACAAAAAATTGAGCCGTATAAAATTAAAAACATCTTTTGTTTCTTCAAGAAAACGAAACCAATTAGCCCATCTTGCCAACCTGTGGAATAATAGATGGAATAAACTAAGTGCATATGAGTACTCAAATATTGAAGGCGTGACTCATGTGTAAGGACCACCAACAAATTAGAATCCCAAGCCCCAAATATGTTGTCATCATAATCTTGCGGACCACCAACTTATATTTTTTTATATTTTATTTTCGCTACCAATCATTTTAATGTGTTGTTTATAGGGAATTTTTGGAGGCTTGAACTATTAACTTTTTAATTGAAGTATACTCGGGACACCAATTGGGCTCCTATTAATACACACTAATTGCATATTATTCATAGTTCGTCGTATCAGTCTATACGCGACCGTATCGGTCGGTTCGCAATTCATTTTTCAAAGGTGTGATACAGTTACACACCTACATGAACCGGTCAATTCGATCGATTTACATCAATATTCTTCCGAACCCGTTACACCGCTATTGCGACTGATACTGCTACTCCGAACCATGATACTGACATTTTGTGCTGACACCCATTTTGGTAATTGGGTTTGGGCTTCAATTGGACTTGATGATCAATGATATAGTAATATAGGCCAAGAACATAAAGCCTGGTCAGTGATGATGTGCTAGGAGTTTGGGCCGAGAAGGATATCTGGGTCATGGAAGGTGATTGGATTGAAGGTGGTTTGGAATAGCATTTTAGTTGGAATAAAATCCATTAGTGCTATACATGAACAGTGACGTGGCAGTTCTCATACAACATAACGCTATATGCAAAGATGCTACATGGATAGAATGTTCTTGAACTTTATGTTAGATAAGATTTATGTGTTTACTTGAATTTTGAATTAGTGTTTATTTAGGAATGTTTAGTTTGAATTTATTTTTAGTTGGTTTATCGATAGGATTAGATTTTATTTGGAATTAGTATTTAGTTAGGATTAGTTTAATTTGAATAATTATGTGGTTGTATTAGAATATAACTAGGATGCTTGTATTTAGGAATTTGTTTTACCATTTATTCTATAAATAAACAGAGAGGCACTTTAGGAATTTGTTTTACCATTTATTCTATAAATAAACAGAGAGGCACGCTGTACAAAGGGTCCAGCACCCTCTGAATCCTTATTATTATTTGTTTGTTTCTTCAAGTCTTTCTAAGAATAGCATCCTTGCTATTTCTTCTTCATCTCTATTTCTTTATCTCAATCTCTCAGTATCTCTCTCTTTCTCTCTCTCTCTTCTTCTCTCCTTATTATTTCCTCTTCTTTTCTTGTTATATCCATTATCTTCCCCTTTCTATTCTCTTGTTACGTTACTATAATTTGTTTACAGAAAGTCCTTTTAACTAAGGCAATATTGAACTCATTTAGGAGTTTATTTGTTCTCTATCTCCTAAAATCGCCTGAAGTCAACATTCCCTAAGAGACTAAAAGTTGACAATTCACAATTGAACCATATATTTGGTTCTGGCACGCCCGTTTTCCATCAATTTAAGATCGGCTCTAGCCAACCGATTTTAGGGTTAACATTTTTGGCACGCCCGATGGGACCCATCAGGTGAGTAAGTTATAGTAAAGATGCCTCCTAAGCTAAGAGGTTCGAAAGGCGTGTATACAGGAGATAATACTGACGAAGAAAATCCACAGATCGGCGTAGGCGATGATGCCGATTCTTCTATTCCATTCGACGTTCCTTTGGGTCGGGTACTGGAATCGATATGCAAAAATTCGATGCCCAGCAAGCATAGATCGGTGAGGTGAGATCTCAAATGGCAGAATCAAATCAGCTTTTGGTTTCTCAAATTCATGAGATGAGGTCGATGACAGGGGAGTTAAACCAAATGGTGTACACTCAGTTGGCGAAGATGAGTCAGAAACTTGAAACAAATGTACCAGCAATCAAAGCCAAGAAAATCGGCATGATCCCGCTGAAGCATCTCATTTCAATGAGTCCATATTCCAGCGTATGAAAGCACCATTAATACATATATCCCAAAGACCACGAACATGCATTATACCGCCAAGTGCAGGACTTGGTATTACAATCAGCAATGTGCCGAATCATACCAGTATATCAGCAAATCAAAACCGAGACAATCGGCATGATCAAGCTGAAGTATTTCATATCAATGAGTCCATATTCCAGCGTATGTCAGCACCATTGATACATATATCCCAAAGGCCTCGAACAGGCATCATACCGCCAAGTACAGGACTTGGTATTACAATCGGCAATGTGCCAAATCATACACTCGGCATGCCGATTGGGAATCCACCAATCTTACCAAATCCGCTGGCAGTAACTACTGTGCCAGTATATCATCCACCAGTGAATAATCAGCATAATCAAAATGTGCAGCATCCACATGTGCAGCCGATTCCACCAGTGAGAGATCAACAAGAAGTGATAGGAAACCTAAACCAAGGTAGTGCTAATCTATTGATACCACCAGCGGCTGCCGGGGGGCAAGTAAATGCCGATCCACAAAGAGAGTGGGTTAATCTATTCATTTCATGGCACCCAAATGATCCTCCAGGAAGAAATGCAGGGATCGATAGGGCTCAGATTTTCGCTTTAATACAGGCCGAAGTGGCACAGGGTTGCAGACGTGCTCGGCCAATATACAGAAAGCCCTATCCTGATCACGTTGATGCCTATGAGTTGCCTAGAAATTATCGATATACTGATTTTTCTATATACAGTGGTGAAGAGAATTTTTCTACGGTGCAACATATTGCGAGGTTCATAGCACAATATGGTGAAGCAAGCCCAAGTCCTTGGTTGAGGATGAGATTATTCTCTAGTTCTCTTACCGGGGCGACGTTTGAATGGTATAGCAACTTACCAGCCAACTCTATTCAGACTTGGGATGAAATGGAGGAAGCCTTCCATACCCAATTCTACCGAACAGAGGCAGAGGCTACGCTGGCAGACATATCCCGTTTATCTCAGTTGCCGAGCGAATCGGTTGAAACTTTCGTGGCCAGGTTCAGAAAAGCTAAACTCAAATGCCGAGTAAGTTTGCTAGAACCAGAATGCATCAAGTTGGCATTAAACGGTTTAGACATTGAACATCGCAAGAGGTTTGATGGGGTCGAGTTTCAAGATCTCTTCGATTTGGCAGACAGAGCTTCTCGGTATGAGGTTCAACTAAAGAAGAAAAGAATTATTAAGTGGCTTACCTTCCCAATTAAGCCTGGTGAAGAGTCTCGGCAAGATAATTCTAGCAACAGTCATGTAAAGGCGAAAAAGCAAAATCGGCTAGAATATATATCTAGCCGATTCCATTCCCAAAATCGGCATCCCTCAAAAATAAAAATTATAGAAGA